TGTTTTCATTAGCTTCCAATATTTAAAAAAAAAAAAAAAACTATGTATTAGAACTGGAGGAAATTTTTTAACACAATGTGTGAAATTCATTTTTAAAGATATGACAGTTTTAATAATTTTCTTAATGGATTAGCTTACGAGAAAAATATTTAATAATATAAAATTATTAGCATTATATTCAAGAATAATATATCATTAAAATTCTTAGTTAATATTGATAGAATTAAATGATACGTCGTATGTTTAATTCGCATAAAAATTACACCACAAAGTTATCGATTAATTTAAATTAGAGAAACTTTTAAGCGTTCTCCCTCTTTTCTTCTTTTTATTTTTAATTTTTATATTATAAAAATTATCTTATCTATCTTTCTATCTATCGTATTTTATAAAAATTATACTTATTGCAATTCTCTTTTAAATGTTTTTATATTTCTATGGTTTCGAGCGTTTATTAACATAATATTATTTTAATGAAAACCTTATTTACTCACATGCTTCACTTAAAATATCCCGTTTAAAATATAAAGGATTATCATGGCAATTTATAAAACAAAAGAATTTAAACAATTTCAAATAAATTCTTTGGTACTCCTTATAAAACACATTCGTCCAATTTCATTTATTTTATTGAAAAATATTTTTATGAAAAATTTAATACATTCATATTGTAAACTTATTTATAAATATATATAAATATATATTTGTAGTTTTAAATCTGTCGCAAAGTCGAAGAATTTTATATCATGTATTATTGTATTAAGGGAGTCTGAAAAGCACTGTTTATTATCAGAGAAAAAGTAATCCTATTTAAATACATAAAATTCCGCTTTCGCACACCTGATAATAATACTTTGCACGATTTATTTTAAAAACTAATTACACATTTCTAAGTTGCCAGAAGAAAGGACAATGTGTTGCAGCTTAACAATTATTAAAAACAAAAGCACCGATCTTACCAACAATCGGCTAACATAAATATTAAACCGCAGCTCCCCCGCCCCCTCTTATTAATCTTACTCAACTCGATCTTTACACTGTCGTCTACGGACATGAAACGCCTTTCGATCGGATAACGTCAATACTTAATTCGCCACCCCTGAATAACAATGATTTCGCGGCAGTGCATGATAAGGCAGCAGCATTCTCGTTAACCGTGATATCAGGCAGAACACATCTTCCACACGAGGGATGAATGGATCGCTAACCGTTTAAGGCGCTACTACTCCCTCATTGGCCTTCCCGGGCCCCCGAAAGAAATAAAATAAAAATGAAAAAAAAATCAAATGGCGCCAGGTATGCAAAGCTTTTATGCCCTTTCGCTTTTCTCGCGCGTCTGGAATGCCGTGCACTTAGGACTTGTTTATAGGTTTAAAGGAACGTCCTTGCGAATAATGCAATTACGCGAGATCTCCTGCTTTTATGGTACGGATGGACGGACCTCCGAGGCTTATAGCTTTTCCCCTGGGCATATGGGGGCTGCTGTCTCGTTTCTGGGCGACACTAAAAAATAAAATACACGTGGCCGCAAATTAGCGAGCTATTTTTGCGGGGATGAGAGGCATTTAATTATCGCGATGATCGAAAGCCTTATCTTCTCGAAGTTATTTTTGTAACGAAAAGTCGAGACTTGTGCCTATTACATTCAAATATTAATTTATTTCCACCAACAAAGAGTATATCTGTGATTTGCGTTGATATTTACAAAAGAAAATAAATAAATAAATGAATTAATTAATTAATTAATAAAAAAAGAAAGAAAGAAAGAAAGAAAGAAAGAAAGAAAGAAAGAAAGAGGGAAAGAATGAAAAGATGAAAAGATAATAAAAGCTAATGGATGAGTTATTTGTCTTAAGTATCGTTTTGTAAAAGCTATTATTAGACACAACAGTTTACAGTTTGTCATTACCCTCTTGCTCGATCGAGCTTGCAAGATAAAAAGAATAAAGTCTATCTAGCGCTCCTTGCTCAGCTCAAAAATTAAAATGTTTAAATTTAGCACCGGCAATTGCATTTTTCTCCCAAACTTTTATAAATTCGAGTGAAAATAGTCTCTTCTCTCGTTAGCAACAGACAGAAAACAGAGATGTCGGCAGCTACTGGCTAACAAAAGGCGCCGGATCCGCGCGTCTTCCCACGCGATTTTAGCCTCGGGGCCCGCGTGCGCCAAAAACTCGTTAATTCACCGTCATTTCGTTCGTGGCGCGCCATTAAAATTTATCGCGCTTTATGCCGAATGGGCAATTTTAACTTGCCAAGAAGAAAAAAGAGGAAGGCGCGAGAGACACGCGAGGCAATTGAGATACTGCCGTGGCACTAAAATCGCAACTCTTCTCTTTTCACTCGCAGCTTTCGGGCCATAAACCGATACTCGGTAGTCGTTCGCGGTAGGCAACGATCGGCCGGAAGTGTCGCGTCCTTTATCTCAAGCCATTCGATTTGGCTTATTTCGGTTGAAATCTGTATCGAACGACTTACGCACGAATAGTAATGTTTCATCCATAATATGCAATTCACATTCCAGGAGCTCCTTACTCATCTCCGACGTTAGGAACATTCATCCCCACAATTGTTCTGAGTATATTTGATTTGATGAAAAAGCGATTGATTTCGTTAAATGGCCGTATTAATTAATTCGATGATCGATCGATATTGATTTCCACGCCTGTAACCAACAGCCATCACGTGCGCCATATATTAGCGCTCGCATAAAACGATACCGGTCAGAAATCCCAAGTATTACACAAACTGACAGGAGCAGCCAGACAGTCAGACAGTCAGATGGACAAAAGTATGGAGCACACAAGGCGCAGTAAGCTAATGCTTTCGCTATCGGAAGATCGATTCGTTAAACCATCAACTTACAATTACATCGTTATTCAGCACATATTCCGAATACCCATAATTATAGGAGCCATTCAGGAACTTCCGCAAACGCGCGCTCACTTGCGCATCATCGGCAATACCGACCTGTCTCCACACTCTCTTAATACAGAAAGTTAAAAGCGAGGCCGGTCCGACTATTTTCACTTTTAATAGTGCCGATCCACGGGGAAGGTGGAAAGTGGATCCGTTAGCTTTTCATCTTCGCTGTTCATTTGTGAATAGGTTCGTTTCATTATTGTTTTGACAATTTTTAACGCTCGTTCGATGTATTTAATGCAGTCACATTTTTCGCAAACAAAGTCTGTACTTCGTAACGGTAAACACGATTCAATAACCGAGTGATTTTTCATCTTTTGTTCCCTATTAAATAGAGAACCTCGAACCGTGAGTTAGAAAATGCGGAGTAATATTTTTGTTTATTATGCCTGTGATTTATAAACTAATTCATGAATTAAGCGAAAATTTTCGAGTCTTAATGCGATTATTTTAGATGATAAAAAATGCACGATGTGCGTCCGTGATATTGACTAAGCGTTATTACGATTTTTTTTACTTTATCAAAAAAGAGATGGAATACAATGGAATACGATTTGTAAAGGGCTAATTTCGATTGATAACTAATCATGTAAATTTCAACTGTTACAAAGATATCTCATATTTAATTTCCAAACTTTAAACATTAAATTTCTACACAAATTTAGTCTCCATATAATGAAAAGGATATATATGCAGTAAAGTGTATTTTATTAACTATTATGCAAATACTTTGTATATCGGAGAAAAATTGTCAAACATCACTTTTATCTCAATATTGTTAAATGGCAACAAGAAAAATTGGAAGTAACTCTATTGGAAAGGTGAAAAGTGAAAATCGATCTATCGACGCACAGTATTTATGTACTCATAATGCAGGAAGTGGCTCATTAACAGGTCAACCTGTAAAATAAAACCTAGGTAGGCTTACCAATAGATAAGCTACTTTTTCGCAAAATAATCATATTTATTTATTTTTTATATTGACAATATACCAATTTCATTTATTTATCGAAGTTGGTTAATCTATATATAATGGCAGTTACTGGATGCTTAACTTTAGAATTTATATATTAATTATTAATATAAATTTAAATCAGGTTTAAGAAAGAATATTTATTATATTCATATTATTGCTGCTTTATTCAACATTTATAAATTGCGTTTCAGTATAAAATAGACAAAATAAGTACTTGTGTATTATGTTATGATTAATAAAACTGCAATATTTACATAGAAACCATGGAAATGCTACTAATTCGCATATATGTTATTGTTATAAAACGGCTGTGTAATTAGCATATCATTTGCTCGTAAATAAAATATTACATGCATACAAAATTAATAGCTTTGTTAAATAATGATATGAATTTATATTAAATCAATAATCAAATATTAAATTATTAATTGGTATAGTTAGATGATTGATAAATATAGTAATGTTTATTGTTTCATTACGTACAAGTGACTTGGATTATTGGCCTGAGTGCAAGTACGGCAGGTATGCGTGTAAGAAAATCTTGAGACTATGATGACTCGGTCCCTGTAATTACTCTCATTAATCTAAGCGTAATCCTAAAATAGAAACTCAAGAGCCCAAAGGCACAAAGCAAAAAATAATGTAACAAAGAGTGAACAAAAGATCGTAGTAACAATCGTGGTTTGTGTACGAACAAGAATCGTTTAATGTCATTTTAAATTTCATTCAAATATTGATGCAAAATATTATTTTGCATTAGTTGTACTTAGCATGATCCTGTGACAAAATATGAATTATTTTTCACGAGCAAATTATTTCATCCGCTCAATCAGTTAAGTTCACATTACATTCCAAGTTTTTTAATAAAAGAATTTTAAAAAACGCAACAACAACAAAGCAAAAGAATGAAAAAAAAACAATGCACATAAAGGAATGTGAATTAATACACTTTACCGATGGCTTGCTATTGAAACTCTCGACCTCTCAATCCTTATGACCTGACGAGATCTACTGACCCACAGGCCACTACTCAAATTAAAAGCGAAGGGCAAAGGAAAGCGAAAGCGCCCCCGAACAATGGCAAGTGAAGGATGCTACCAACCTGATTTGCCGACTCTGGGGCCGCCGAGGACGACCACCCTGATCCTGTTGACGTTGGTCATTAGCCGGCTCTCGGTTATCTAGACGTACCAAGCAACAACGTCCTCCCTCTTCTTCTTCCTCGCTCTCTCTCTCTTTCTCTCGCCCCCTCTCCCTCTCTCATACACACATACACACATACGCATACACACATGCATGCATGCAAAAAAAAAACGAAAAACAAACAAACGCACGCACACACACTTGCACACACGATTCCCTGATTATATCCTACGATATCAGACACAGTTTTTAGAGATGTGGAGTTAATTGTCGTCGGGCCGTCGCATGTCGGTTCTAACACTGCAACACTTCTCCAAAAATCGTACGACCGCTCTTGCAGTCACGCGGATGCGCGACGTTTGCCGGCGAACATGAAGTGATACACTCGACAACT